TCGTGCGCATATGGGGAATCACCCAAAAGCACGGCCATGTGTAACGTAATTATGTTGGGGTGCTTGTAAAGTGTTGAACCTAGGATCAAACAAATTGAGGGTGCCGGAGAGAAAGGGGGAACAGAGAATGCACAAACTTGAGACGACCAAAATCTTTAAGACCAACGAGAAGGGTCATTTGCAGGGTATCAGCTCAATAGTACTGCAGGCTTTACCTTAGATAAGACCTCAGTCACTCGTGATCGACTGCGACCGCGAGTCTTAATCATAGGCCTTACTTATCTTAGGTAGACCTAAAACCTTAAGGTCGAGCTACTACAGAGTATTCAATAAAAGGAATCAAGGGCATAGGCAAAAACAGCGTAAGGGAGTAAATATGGATATGTTCTAAGCTCGCCATAAATTGCGATCCACGTGGCACGACTTCTTTGTTAGTATTGGAACTTGTTGGGTCTGCCCACCTTTTCCGGGGTAGGCTATAATTTAACCGTCCTCGTCGAAGACAGTCACGTAGAAAACATTTGTAAATAAAACACTGGAAGTATTTGGCATGTGAATTCGTCTTAAGTATAACGTTTAAAGATCCGCTAAAGAAAGCGGCATCCTCCTTTTATTCATCTGATGGCAAAGTGAAGTGTATTCAGTTAATACCCCTGAAAAAACTTAGAAAAAGGTCGAGAAAAAAAAATTCTTATAAGAATTTGATTGTATGTCACTCTTGACCAGATGGATTAAGTGTTCATCTTTTGGTCCAACGAGTAAAGCATATACACTCGAAGTTCCCCGGATCTACCTTTGTTAAGGCCGACACCTGCATTCTTTCGAGGAGTGTGATCCGCCAGCCGTCGGGTACCTAAAAGGTTATATAAGGTCCATACGAAGCATCGGGGTACCCCTTTTGTAAGGCGTCTATCCGGTACAGTGCGTGGTTTAAGTTTCATCACTCAATTTAGAGACCCACTTCACCACAAAGGTGCGCGTGCCCGAATCTTCGGAAGACACGATATTTTTCCGTGAGTCCCAAGAAGACGAAAATTTTAAGCTAAGATTTAGCATAAAATTGAAGAACCACTAGAATACCAATCGCCAATGACTAAAAATTAAAAAAAACTATCGAAGCACCAGCGAGGAATTGCAAAGGGCCCGGTCAACATGGTCAAGGTTAAAATTGTTAAAGAGAAAATTTAAATCCTTCTCCATTACCTTGTAGAGGACACCTTGGTACATCATATCTACCATGCACCGGAGGACCATCAGCAGACAGTGAATACCAAGAGGTTAAGGTCTGTGGGTTAACAACGTAAAGTCAAATTCGCAACATTCAAGCCAAACTGGTTCAGGATAAAAGCGCCATATGGCACAAATTCGGCAGGCCTGGAGAAGCCAAGCTTTGAAACCAACGCGGTCGTCTCCGAGATGTCAGGGCCGTTTTTGACCTAGTCGGACGCTGACATAACGATGTACTACCATCGACGCAAGCTTTACATATTCTTATAGAGGTACCACTTCACGAAGACTTGTGAGATTCGGCTGCTTAGACATCTAATTGAGCCGGTGTTATTCTTTCAAGACTGAGGGTGAAAAATACATGATCAACTCAGTGATTACCCTGATACTAGAAGCAGGAATGGTTGCGGGGAGGTTCGAGCTGAACGACTTGTTTGAGGTAAGGTTCGACAATAATCAATTCACGTTATAGATACGCCACATACGTCTGGGTATTATCGTCGGAGTACACTTTGCGAATTGCGACTTATCTCCCACGGCTAAATTGTGAGACTAACGTCTAGCGACAGCCAAATGGCACTCCAAGACATTGATGTCCACTCTTAAATCCAAAGGACAACGCGTGACCCACGGTCGATACACGATATGTCACAAGAAATAACGTCGCCATATGCTCATGTCGTGGAGAGTCAGTCGTCCAAGGGGTCTTCTAGCACTAGCCGCGTAAACCGAATGCCTTTAAGAACAACAGGTGCGGCGTTTGTCCACCTTCAAGCGTGACACGCTGAGGGGACGTCTCAACTTATCCACTAGGTAGTTTGCATACATAACTCGTCGCGGTTATGGCAAAAATTCGTTAAGAGCGCCAAAATACCCAGATTCACCCTAAAAAAGGGTGACCAGAGGAAGGAAGAGTAGCAAACAGCAAATGGCCTGAGTCCAAGTGGACAAGCCTCGAAAAATCATACAATGCCAAATGTAATTATGGAGTCATTTGGCCCGTGTGACTTGGGCCCAAATGAACTGCATCAGGAAAAACCTTTGGTGGAAATGGCTACTGCCACACTGGGACAGTTAACCATCCTAATGTACTGCATCAAACTCTCAGCGACCTCAGAAACTAAGGGGTATTCATGGGAAAGACCCGGACGAGGATCGAGCAAGCAGCTGGGTGACTACCTGAAAGACTGCATTAACGAGGTATCCAGCAACAGACAGAGTAAAGTGTCTAGTTTTTGAGGGGATTTTAAAATCACCAGCACGGAATTGTAAACGATGACAAGGTCGCTCCGCTCATGGAAAATGAAAGGAGCTACTGCAACAATGCCGGATGCAATTCTGCGGTTTGAGAGTACCAGTCGTTCGCCAGCACCTCCATTTGAAGAAAAGGTTAGGTGAATTAAACTTTGACCATATATCCTTCCATATATGATTGAAGTTAGGGCGATGTTGAAGCTTAAATAAAGACCGCTCATGATTAAAAAATATCAGATTGAGCACCATATTGAGATTGTGGAAGAGCCTGAGCTGGCAGAACAATGACTTTGCTACGTCTGGTGATGTGGAAGAACTAAAAGACGTGCTGAGAGCTCTTCAGCAACGATGCAATAAATCATTTGGATCAAGAATGTCTTGTCAGAAGGCAACTTGTCCACATGACTGAAGAAGATATTGTGATTCTTGTTCATTGCATGCATTTCGGATGACCCGGATGAATCAAGCCTCAAGGACTCCAGCCTGTACAACTCGGACAACAAGGGGGCTATAGACGAGTCTATCCGACTTGCTGAACTTGAAGAGTCCTGACGAATACATGCATTGATCAATCAGCAGGCTGCGCAATTCCTAAATGGAGCCACAAATATGTACCAGTCTCTTCGGTCAGACCGGACTTTAGAACAAAATCGTTGGCCTTCCCTTCCCAAGGCAATACCAGAAAATCCCCGTAGGGATCACTGCAAAAATTGCTTATTAGGATGAATCAGAATTATTTTGCATTTTAATGACCTGAACTGATTAAATATGAGCGTCACGAACCATTTCTATTTTTAAGTTTGCCTGATCTCTAACTTCGCATGTGTTATCAAACGAACCGGAGAGGACCACACATGTACCTAGATAAACAGTAAAGACGGTTTAATGCCGTAGGAACAAATGAGCAGGCTAAGGCAACCTTTTTAGGATTCATGACTGTAAACAGGCAAATTTAGATACACAATATCTAACGGGGCACTGGTCATTAGCACTACTTCAGTACTAGTGCACCTTCACTGACAACAGTGTAGGTAGTCGCGCGCTTCACATCACGTACGTGCAGAGGAAGGCTAGCTAGTGGACGGTGCGTGCAATAGGGGTAGAAAGTAAAAACGTTTAAAATCAAATGAAGTCCTGACCATTAACCTATGCTTTAGTCCCAACTTATTCATCTGTTGAAAGTTTTGAATAATAAATGTTTTCAACTTAATCATTTGTATCTACTTAAATAAATGCTTAAGTTTTGCTCACCAATCATTGCGCGCTTTCATCGTTGATTGAACCGCTAGAGCTGGGTGATATGACGGCCCATATCAGCAAATCGATAAGAGTTTCTGATTAGCATCCCTCATGGTAATATCCACGAACACTGTCAACCTTTATGATAATATTTTAATTAACGAGTTCCAAGGTTTTTTACACGCAACAGGCTCACCCCGTCACACAAGCCGGTCAAAGTACCGCTGGGCTCCACATATTGTCGCTCGTTCGTTCAACAAGTGCATCAAAACCCCTTTACACTTAAATAACCATCCTACCGTTACCAATTAGGGCAGAAACTGGGGTAGGACCTTCCATTGCATCAGGTAACCATAAATGTAAAAAAATTTGAACAGATTTTCCCATAGCACCTATAAAAATTAAAAGGAAGGATCGAACTCACATATGTGGCAAAGTATGGAGATGATTTGTGGGAACCTATAACCTAATGGTTAGCAGCCATTTGCTCTACCAGTGAGCTACAAAGAAATAATTATATTTTAATTTTTAAAACTTTTAGTATTTTTAAGCTAAATATTTTACAATACTTACACTTTAAACCTATCAATGTATTGATTTTAATTTTCAAATTGATATAAACCTTTTTCTAAAAAAAACCAGGTTAATAAAATCAAAATAAATTTTTTTTGGCGTTAAGATATGATATTATTTTAAGGTATGAAGTTAGTTTATTAAATTCAAATAACTTTTATATATTTAGGATTACCAACTATCATTTTTTTCAGCTCTTTTTTTTTAGGAAGGTCCTGAATGTGCTTGAACGCTTGATAATGGTGGATAAATTGTCCAACTCTCGCATGCTCCAAAGCTTTGGAGCATGCAATTTGGCAGATGGGTTCACGACGATAATGCTCACACGTATCAAATTTACGCCTCGTGTGCAATGAACAAACGGAGAGGATTAGAATAGCCTTTAAGAAGCCTAAAGTGACCCTTAATTATTGGCCAGGACTTATTTACTAAAAGGTGACATCCCGCTGATTTAGTTCAATTCTAGTAGCTTCCACGGAGCGATTGATTGATAGATTTTGATGTGAGTCGCTTGAATGGGGTGATTGAATGAATGAAGTTGTTCAGGGAACGGAAGTTACACAATTGGATTATTTTAAAATGCGAACGACTATGGCAATAAAGAATTTAGGATTCGATACCGGATAAAATCGGCTTTTTAAGATTAGACTAAAACACGCCTATTAACAGACATTTTACGAGAATACGTGACACCTTTCGCGAATGCCATGGAGCCAAATACCCAGGTACCTTGTTGTTCTTTTACCTGCGCTCGCAGATCGCTGGTTGCGCCACATTTGAAGCTGCAGTTGTGTTTATAAGACGGATTATTGACACTCTGTGCTGTATTCGTGCTGCCTTGTTGCTCTCAACGTCGTGCACAGTATGCGCTGCATGACAGCGAAGCAACGCCACCAGTCTGGGCAGCTCGTGTCCGTCTTACGCCCGAATTGCTACACAAACTTCGACAAGATCCGGAGCGAGTTTTATTGCAGCTGAATGTCTTCACTAACGTCGGGTCCTCGAAAAGTCGTGACAGTAAGAAAAAGACGAGTCTGATGACTCTTGATTTAGCGGGAACTAAAGAGCGTTACGAACTGCTTTCGTTTTCGGAAGACCCGGGTATCAACCACGTCTGCACGTTCCGTAGACCAGCGGAAAAAGAACTGGAGAGAGGCTACAGTATATACAAGACGGGTGAAATTTACCAGAAGCTGCTGGTACAGCGGTTGCTGGATGATACGGAGAAGGACCGCATTAAGGACAAACATGCAAAGTCCGTACAGGAGTCCAAGTCTCGAACGTCCAAGATGATTGACTCGAAGATGCAGCAGAATAATGCCAAACGGCAGCGACGTAGGACGACGCTGTCGAGTGTGTCGGTTGCAACGACCACTTCTAGTGCAGCTGGCGTTCTCAAGAGGTACGGTCAACTTATTTAAAGACACTTTGTGATCTACTCAATTATCCACTTGTCTGACTCGACGTTGATTCAGGAAGTTACTGCTACCCTCTGCATTATCAACGAAAGAAGCCAAAGACGCCAAGGAAAAAATCGAGAGAGGTTTCGTGGTGGAGGTGGAAGCGGAAGAAGAGAAATTGACGCAGGAGCAAAACACGATGTCGGTTCAAACAAAGATCAATGACAAGGCAACCGCTTCTGCTAATGATGTGGAATCCCATGCTCTTTTCTCTTCAAATTCAAGTGACGAGGATAGTAAGGTCAATAGCGAAAGACGAGTACTGAAAAAGCAGAAAACGCGTGTAGCGACAACATCGAAAAATGATCGAAACGTCTTGGCAGCGAAGGGAGCAAAGCTGACTGAGGACAGGTCAATTGCTACCACCGGGGATGATGCGACTACAGGAAGAGATAAGGATGCTAAAGCGTGTCAAGTAAAGTTATCAAATGCTACAAGCAAAGGAGGTGCTACTGTGAAACCGAGTAACACCAAACAAGGTACTCAGAAGGGCCGCGCAGTGGATATCCATGCGGTAAAGCCGATCAAGCCCTCGTCCTCTGGTGTCGAAGTTAAGCGAGCTCGCATGCGTTCAACTCTTGTGTCCGACCGAGTGAAGCAGGCTCAACAGCCAGACATGTCATCCTATCCGTACTCTGTTGGAGAGATCTGTCAGCGGGTTGCGCATCACCGTGGCCGATCAGTAATTCTTGACAAGAGCGACTACGACGTGTTTGTGAAGACGCACGAGCAGTTTCTGCAAGACTGGGAGATGCTCGACAAGGTAAGCAGTGGCACACCTACTTCGTATCCGGTCATCTTTGTTCAGATGCTTATGTGCTTTTTCCTACACAGATTTACTCCATCGAGATGATCAAGACAGAGGGTCTGCACTTGCAACTCGAAGTAGCCACAGACGACTCGAAGGTTGCAGAGTTGGAGGCGAGGATACAAGCGGCTGCTAACAAGAAAGAGGTAGGTCACATGTCATCCCTAATACTGTAAAGCAGTCCATTATCTGAAGGGTATACGTATTACGTACAGGGTCTGCTCTTTGTGCGAGATGCGATGATCAGCATTCAGAAGATTTTGCTCAGCATCCAGACTTCCATCGAGCGGTTTGACCTGAAGCCTCACGCGTCGCAGAAGTGAGCATATAGCGTGTACCACACTAATATAGTCGCACACCCGTTCTCACATCTGTGGAGTGTCCACTCAATACGCTGCCACTTGGAAGCACGAGCACGCGCGTCAGCACGTCGCAAAGGAGAAGGACAGGCAGCTAGTTGATCATGGAGGGAGGGGACTCACGCAGCCTCACCGAGCCGCCATTCATCGCTAGAGTGAGCGTCTCCATCAAGAGGTGTGTCCACGCGTCTGCCAATGTTTCCCGTCCCACCCTGTATAAGAACAGTAGAAGCGCTTACAAGAGCATCGTTGTGTTTATTAATTTTCACAGGAAATGGCAGCACTTGCTGGACAAGAGTACCATTTACGTGTACGGGCGCTGGAGTTTGACCATCGGTCTCTTGATGCTGTACATCGTGCGCGTGCTCTACTTGAACGCTTTTCACATTGTCACGTACGGCTTGGGCATCTACTTGTTGAATCTCTTTATCGGGTTTCTGTCGCCCCAGGTCGACACGGAGAACGACGGTCCACTGCTGCCGCATAAACAGAGCGAGGAGTTCCGTCCCTTTACGCGCCGCGTGCCCGAGTTCCAGTTCTGGTATTCGGCTTTCAAGGCCACGACTGTGTCGCTGCTCATGACGCTGAGCGACGCCTTTAACGTGCCGGTGTTCTGGCCCATCCTGTTGGTTTACTTCGTTATGCTCTTTACATTTACGATGAAGCGTCAGATCAAGCACATGTGGAAGCACAACTACGTACCGTGGGACCACGGCAAGCAGGTTTACAAGGGCAAGAAGAACGCGAAATAGACGGACACGCAGCCAGCAACACAAGCAGGGTGCCACGCCTGTGAGTCAGCCCCACCATTTGCTGCGGCATCAGCATGGAAGTGACACGGAGTAGGTTTGTCGTTTGGTGAAGGAGCGAGCAGACTCTGGTGGTGTACTGCATTGCCGAAGAAGTGCGATAATTGATTTCCACGTATCGCGCAGTCAACTTTGCCAACGTTCGAACTTGTGTTGCAATTGACTGGAGCAGCATGACAAGAGTCTGACTTGGCCGTGCCCTGGATAGGCAAATAGCTGATGCCTATTCAGCTCATCTGTCTCAGTCGCTCAGTTACAACATTCTATTTTCTGACCTTATCGAGCACCATGTTCGTTGCGTGTCACTGATGTTCTTCTACTTTCCTGTACCCAAGTGCCGGTGCCAAACTTGTCCTGTACAAAATGGGGCTTGCGGTAGTCTTGATAGGACGGAGACTCGTCGCTTCCTTGACGTCAATTTGTTGTCGTTGTTGAGTTTACTTGGATGCTCTGCATTTAAGATCCACGTAAAAAGGTCCAAAACAAAAGTCGCCGTGTGGCCATTGTTCATGTGTGTACAGTGTGACCAGTGCAGCTAGGGGTTTTGTCGCGCTTTAAGCAGCTGCCTCCCATTTCGGTACCTTCAGACTGCTCAAAGTCATTTCCATACACGTAGATTTTTCGTAGCACTGGAAGTTTGTAGTTGCATGGACGCGAAGTGATTCGTAATCACGAAGCCTTCCTTATTTGAAGCAAAAGTACCTTTGCAAATGACGATAATAATCGTCTTGCTGGTTCGTCAGATTCGTGGATGCTAACGAATGTCGTCGGATTATTCATGCAAGTCACGTAGGTTGTAAGTGCTGTCACTCTTTCATACGCAGCCCAGCACAGGCACTGTGATTTTACGTGTGGGTCTGATCGCCCATGGACCCCAGCAGAGATGGGACTGCCGAGTCACATTTGGAATTTGTTGCACAATAGTGTAAGACGCAGCATCGTCGGCAACATCCACAATGCAGATAAATCAATGTCAAACTGGTGCGACGACGAAAGCAATTGAGAAGAGATTCTTCAGATTACTCGGCTGCGATAGTGTTGAGACTCAATCAAGGAAACGAGAGACATCAGCACGCAGTGCTTGACTACCAAGTACGTGAGGAACACACGTCAGCTCATCACACACTATCTTGTAGTGATAGAAGAAATCATAATGGCTTTAGGAGTCAGTTCCATTCGATCACGGCAGTGTAATCATAGCCATTTTTTGTGTTGTCGTGTATCGAGGTTATCCCGAACGACGACGGCAGTCTGGTTCGATGCAATCGAGTCAGACGGCTGTGCAGCAATAGTTTTCGATGCCATTGACTGCTGCATCCTGTACAGTGTTTGTTGCAGAAGCTGCTGATGTGAGTGAGCTTCACTGAGGCACTTAGAGATCTCTAATGCTAACGGTTGTCGCTCATCTTCTTTAGATGCATTCAGAGATACAACGCGTACAAGTCAACATGTAGTTGTGCGTTCAGGCCTTGTATTACTCGTTCCAACACACCTGCTCTACAGCTCAACCACTTTTCCAAAGTATACTCCATTGCCTGTATTCGGTCCACAAGCTGAAGGCAATTCATAGTCGTGCTCTGGATACGGTGCGAGAGATCTCCTCCGACGCAGGACGTGCTTGAACGCCCAGTTAGTATACAGCACATACTCGCCGCCCACGAGCACACCTCCTTGAAGGTCTTGAGTGCGATAGGTACGCGGGATTTCCACGGGCGGCTTCACGTACTCGTTCCACGTTGTTGAGTTACGATCGATCCCAGTGACACACGGAGACTTTGGCTCGCTATCGTCACTCGAAAGATTGGTTTCCAAGTCGCTGGGTGTTTCCTGAGCCAGGTATGCAGTCGCCTCTGCAATGTACTTGGCCAGCTCCTCTCGGTAGCTCTGCTCTCCATCGTCGTCTTCACCCGTGGGTTTGTGCTGCTTGCGCTGGATGCGACTGTTCTTGCCGGACTTGGCGTCCGCTCGCCACTTTCGACGCTTGAAGACTTTCGCAATCCAAGTGTCAGTCGAAGTGTAGTTTTTGACGCCGGTACTGGGGACCAGAGCAGTCAGTTCCAGCGGCTTTGGCGACTCGGTGTATGGAGGCATTTTCACTTGTGTTTAGTTCAAAGAATTGCAAAATTAGTAAAAAAACGGCCATGACTTGAAGTACGACGCAAAAGTGGCTGAAAGGAAGATGGCTTGCATACTCGGTGTCGCAGGTCGGTCGGTCTTCCATCATCCACAATGAAGGCTGAGGAAATTGTACTACAAACTCGGCAATGGCATTTCTTTTATTTACTTTACTTAGAAGACACGGCGTCGGTCTTCAACATGGCGAACTGATCGAGGATAGAATGGTCGGCGCTCGAAACATACTTCCACAACAGTGTCGTGCGATTCGCGTGCAAAATTGTGTACCCGAAGTGCTCGTAATCGTTGACAGCATTCCACGACGCGTTGTGTGTCGGTGGTACAGACATGCCTTCTGACTGACCGGCCCCTCCTGTTATGATGTGTACGGGAGCCTTCGGGTTGTCGTACACCGTGTATTTCGATGAAACGCCATCCATTACGGCTTTGTTCTTAGCAGTTGGCAGTTGCCGCTCGTAATAGTGCTTGTGCCCAGTCAACACCACGTCCACTTTGAACCGAAGTAAGAGCTCTTCAAAGGCTGCCTGGACAGCCAGTGTCTGCCCGATTGGTACGTCGCTTTTGGAGTCAAGGACACTGTAGATCGGGCGATGCATACCAACGAAAATCCACGGCACTTTGTCTCGGTTTTTGTTCGCTTTCTTTAGATCCGCTTCAATCCATTTCAGCTGATCACCAAAGTCTCCATATCGTTTGTTGCGAGCAAATTGATTGGTAGGCGCATTGGGGTAGTCCGTTTCCGATGAGAGTGATGCAAAGTGGATCGGACCGTGGTCAAACGAGTACCACATATTCAAAGCGCCGCCGCTCTCTTCGGACGGCATCTTAAAGCGCGTGTTGTATGCAGCGTAGTTGCCCAACGCCGTCCGCTTTTCCCTCGATACCATGCATCGTGGTGAATGACATTCTGCTTCGTGGTTTCCCGGCAGTACCATATACGGGACGCGACTCATCAGCGGCATCAACGCGTTCATCCACTTGTTGTACACTTCTTCGTAAAAGAATCCTGCAGCTTGATCGAGCGTCAGGTAATCGTTGTCGGCGTACGAGATATCGCCGAGATGGTACACGAGGTCAATATCATGCGAGGTGAGGTTGTTGATGCTTGCGATCGTATCGGCCGAGTACTTGCCGTCTCCGAGGTCACCATAGATGAGCACGCTGAAAGAGCTATTATCGGTGGCTGGACGCGCCGTCACGAACGAACTGATGTCGCTCGTGTACTTGTCGTCACTGAGACATCCCACCTTGTAGAAGTATTTCGTATGAGGCTTGAGACCGGTAACTGTTGCGTGGTGGTGGAACAAATTGTACTCATCGTCGCTGTAGTAACTAGTGCTAGACACCGGCGTGTCCACCAGCTCTAGCTTCAGCTTGGACGTGCCCACCCACACAGAGCTGTCGGTTACAGGCTCGAATGTCGCCCACGACACCGTCATGGCTGTGCCAGCCTTCTTTCCCGCGAAAGCCAGGTGGATCTGCTGCGGGTACAAGTTCAATCCTTTTTTCACACGGCAGGTTTGGTCGAAATCGAGGTCGCCCATGTTGAAATTGAGCTTGCAGAGACTGTCAGGCATGCAGATACTTAGGGCCTCGTCCCAGTAGCAAGCATCGTTATCGATGACAGGGCTCGCCCAGACGAAAAAAGCAGACACCGCTATAGCCGATAGCGATAAAGCGAGTGCATTCATCAGGGAAGAGACGGAGCGCGTAGGGCGAAGTGCTTGAGGCCTTTACTCAAGGGGATGCTCGTATCTTGTTATGGGAGACAAATGAAGAGTGAATGAGCGATGCGATGAGTCCGCAGCTTTATAGAGCTGGACCTGTTCCGATCGCTTAAAAATCATGCAATTACATGAAGAAGAGATCAACAACGTTAACGTGTCTCAATGCCTTGACATATTAGTCAGCTGTCGGCAAATCGTGTGTTTATGGACCAGATAGGGTACTCTTCCACGACAGCAGCTGTCAATCTCTTGACGACCAATGCCACGCCGGACCAGAACAGCTCATTCTAAAAGAATGTCGCTTGCTGTACGTACACATCTTAATCGTGTTACGTAACGGTCGACTCCGACGCTTTTCGGTCTTGCACGAATTGTCGCGTGACGCGTGACAGACATCCAGGACATAGCGAATCTTCCTTTCCAATTTGGAATCGGTGACAACGAGTCAATTAATCAGTGGGTCCGGATTAATTGTCACTTCATTAATGCACCAGAAATCGACCTCATCATTTGCTGTGGACTTTTCGATTGCCACATGGCTCAACGTGGACACACTGCTAATCTGCTACAGCAGACGAGGCAACGAGTGATGTGATTACAGCTGAACCCATCGCTGGATACATCATCTGTAGAGGGAGTGTAGAGTAGTACGGCCTTAGTCGGGCATTCTGTTTGTAGAAGTGTCGACTTTCTATGAAGTAAGTGCAGCGCTGCAAAATATATTAATCAGTTTTGTTATGCGTAGGAGTGTTCCCACGCAGATATGCACAATTCCTGATACATAGTATCCTTCTTATGTTTTCCGATCTTTGGTAAGAGTCGTGGGGACCCTACCGTAGATAATAGGCGATTTGCCAATTGTTGAAATCTCCGTCACGTGATACCATCGCTGATAGCTACCGCTATGCCACTGACGAAGGCATGATGCGCAGCATAGGAAAAGGCCAAACTAGTAGTTGTTTTGGTTTCAGAAACAGTTGAATTTGAATGATTTAGGGTTTGATTAGGGCACCATCCTCCCGCTTAATCCCCTGGAATACGTAATGCGGCTCAGATGGGCGGTATCGTGTACTGCAGAGCTTTTAGAAAGTTTGGTGCCTACCCAGTGCTTGCCAAAGGGTCTCCTGACGATAGCCGAGGTTTACGTCACGACCTGCGATCACAGTGAACGACACCCATCATACCGAAACCTACAAGCGAGGGTCTATTCCTGTTCCTAGATGAAGCTGCAGCTCATAGCTCTTCGTGTCATCAACTCGATCAAAAAAAAGATACAATACAGATTGACGACTTCGTGTGTATTGCACAGATGACAGTTCTGGATTTGTGTTGTTGCCTCATCTAGATCGACAAACCGGTAAACGATCATGTTCGATAATTTAAGAAACTAATCGGTCGGCGGCGCTGTCAAAATAGTCATCGCATCTTGCTATACAATAGCACTACACTTGTCCCCTTGATGTCGGACCATGCTAGACGTTTGCTACTCTTGCCGCAGCAACGACTGGTGTTGTGATGTGTACTGCCGATTACTTCTCGCACGGCCCGTCGAACGCGCTCGCACGACAACCGAAGGGAGTCGAGGTAACGTGTTTAACCGTAGGTTCATCCCCTATCATACGAAGGCAAGTAATCGACATGAATAAATACACGACACACAAAACACTCCTACACACGTCATCCATAGAGAGTAGGAGCAGTATCGATAGCTTGGCACATCAGTAAGGTATCAAATCCGCGGGTACCTTTGGCTGCGAAACATTTGAACCGAACAGCGCATGACTTGTAACTACTCATTCGTGTAACGGGGTAGTAGTTACATGACATTGACACCAAACGATGTCAATAGGGAGACTGTCTAGCGTGGCATCTCCCTGCCATTTTTATCTGAGATGGTAGTATTAAAGGAATATTATCCCCTTTAGATTATACTCATGCGCTGCTCAAAGATTGGTTGATATAAGACATATCAACCATAGATTGCCGCCAATCGCTGCTAGACGCGCGCAATGAGTGGTGAGCAGGTTGTCGTCATACGACGACGTAGTTTAATATAGTTGAACAAAGACTAAAGTTGCATTGATAGCTTAACTATATTGACCACAGTTCTCTTTTCACCCTTTACTCAACCTAGCTGTTGAGTAGATTAGCTTCCTCTGCACGTACTAGTGTACATGAAGTTTCGTGGCACCCAGACAAAGGGTGTCCTGTTGCACCTGGTAGCACTTTGTATTCCGTCCAACGACTACTTAGTCTCCGTCCAACATGAACATGCTGGACGTAGAAGACGACAGCTTTTCGTCACACGTGAAGGCTACCCCCATCTGAGTGACTCAGATTGGGAGGTAGTCAGCCGCATGAGTGTGCTCATGGGCGAACCCGCCATCAGTGGTATGTTGGAGTCTCTAAGCAGAGACCAGCAACATGATGCTATCAACTAATTCCTACAAGAGGAACTTGCCGTCGAAAGACAGACGATAGTCTTGCTCCAACAGCAAGGCTCTCATCAGTCGATGGGCGGGCCGGCGCACATGCGTCGACCCGAAACCTTGAAGATTGACATCTCAAGGTACAAGGGAACCAATGAAGATTCCCTTTTGAAATCATTCGTCGAGTTAGATTATGCCATCAGGGTCTGTCACATCGAGGGTGACGAGATGCAAGTCGCCTTCTCCTTGTCAAATCTAACAGGATAAGCAAAGACTTGGGCCTTAGGGCTCAAGCTTCACAACTTAAATGTCCTAAGGTCGTTGGAGATCTTGAAGTCTCGGCTCAAAGAGACTTTTGATTCGCCAAGAGCCTAGTTCAAAGCATGCTCTGCACTCCTGAGGCTATAGCAAGGTAAGCGTGATGTGCGTGCTTGTGCGGAACACCTACGCTACCTTGAGAGTAGCGTTACGGAGAACCCTGTTAAAGAGCACACGCTCATCAACGTGTTCATCTACGGTCTTGTAGATGGGCCAATGGAGACCTACATGTTCCGAAAAGGACTTCCATACGCTGGAAAGGGCGATAGCGTATGCGGAACAAGAAGATTTTTTCCTGAGGCAGTCTCAGGCTAACTCATCAAGCTATCATCCGATTAGACGACAGAAAACCGGAGGTCCCGAAACAATGGACCTCTGTTATATCGAGACCGAAAAATTTCGCCCTCTAAGTCACAAGCGAACGGCAAGATGCCATCGCTGTCAGAAGGTTGGAGACTACGCTCATAATTGTAGTGTCCCAAGCACCGCATCACGTCCAAAGACAAGACGTGATGACCGCCGTTGGCCGAGGAACGGTACAAGGCGCGGATCCGACCATGTTGCCAAGCCGCGACAGCAAGTCGGACCGTCAAAAAACGGGCAGGGTCAGTAGGCGCAGAGCACCCTGCTGATCCAGCAACGTCAAGAGAATATGCAGGACTATTGACGAAGATTGCTCCCAACACACAGTAACAGTAGGTTACTGCCCTAGTGATGAAGTGTTTCTCATCACTTTGAAGACCGAGGTGACAAGTGGAATGTCACTTCTCGCCCTAGTTGAATGTGGGGCGTCGAACAGTTTTATTCGACGCCAGTTGCTAGAAGATAGTAGACTCGACTATGTTAAGCGAGAGTTTCTTCCAACGAGGATGACGGTTTGCCTTGCTACAGGCGCATCCGTAACAGTGAACAAACGTATAGTGGGAATCCACTACACGCTAGAAGGAAAACAGTACGATGATGACTCCATCGTGCTAGATTTGGATGACAAAATTGATGTCATCCTCGGTCTGCCATGGCTTCGAAAGAACGAGCCATGGATCAGCTGGCAGCATCAATCCTTAAAGATACCTGCCGTTTGCTCATCGGATGGCCATCTGATGAACGTCTTGGAGCGTCCACAAGCGTGTGGATGTACTACGAGTGAGTGAGATGGCCTCACTTGTGGTACGATCGTTAGTACGATTGCACAAGATCACAGTGTAGAAGGCCACTACACTGTGGAACCAGCTTTCGGCACCTGTGTGGGGAGACAGGCTGCGCCGAAGGTTCACCACTCGAAGAGATCAAGTAGACTGGAACACGGATGCACACCAAAAAGGGTGCATCCAAGAAGAGAGATGAGTGTTGTTCAGAATGGACAACATGTTGAAGCAAGATCAACTATCAGAGAGTCGATAGTAGAGTAATCCCGATCGACTAAAAGAGAGTCGATCGAAGAACATGACTGTGGTCGTGCACCCACAGCCAGAACACGTATTGGAAGAAAGTTTCAGCGTTTCTGTGAGTGATAAATTTCGAGAGAGTTATGGTGAGGTTGTGGATCCCCAACCACTTGCGTATGAGTTTTTCAGGAAGGCTTCAAGACAGTGAATGTCTTGGTGAATGACGGATTAAGTGTAGGTACTTATATACTTGATCTGGTTACAACTCCGAAGTCAGCTTCGGAGGTACTCAAGTTACCAGAGGTAGCATCTAAGAGATTCTTGCAAGACCTGCATAGTAACAAGATCAAGCAGATCTGCGTACTCGTCACAGAGGACGAGTACGTCACCGATATTTGGCCGGCACAATTGTTTATTGAGAAAGAACGGGTTCTCAGTAGCTCATCGATGGACGATAGTGTCCTCGATGAAAAGACCCGGATTGAGCGATACACGTCTCAATCTTGGTAGTCTTGGACGACAAATCCTTTTTATGAGGATTTGGTTGAATTCAGGAAAGTTTTCCCGAAATCCGGTGCCATTCGAGCTGCCTAAGGACAAAGGCACTCGGCATGAGATCGAACTGAAACCTAATTCAAAATACTGTGTCATGAAGCAGTGGCCACTGCCTCGTGTACAGGCCACAGCGATCGACAAATTCTTTGCCGATTGTTTGGCGGCTTGTCATGTGAGGGAATCTACAATCCCACACATCTCTCCGACCTTCTGTGTGCGAAAGACCACAGGAGGGTGGCGGATAGTGCACACGTTCAATAAACTGAACGCTGCAACGGTACCGGCTCAAACGCAGATACCGATGAAGGAAGTCATCATAGATGGTATTGCAAAACGTACCATCTTTTAATTCATGGATTTGATGGATGGATTCGATCAGATCCTCACGCGTGAGCGGGATATCCCTTACACAGCAGTGAGCACCCCCGGTGGTATGCTCTGGGAGTGGCTAGTGATGCCACAGGGGCTAAGTAACGCCCTTGCAATGTTCAACGGATGTGCTATGAATATGTAGACAATGGTACGAGATTTCGCATTGAGTGACTTTGACGATGTGTTGTTACATATCCGGGCTATGAATGGAATGACGGACGTAGAAGGTTCACAGAACAAGTGTTCGTCAGAATCTTACACTTATGCGTGAGCATAAGTTGTTCGCGAATCTTAAGAAGTGTATATTCGCAGTGAACGGGATGCCACTTTCTGGCTGCATCGTGGGTAAAAACGGCGCATGCCCTGATCCGGAAGAGATCAAGGCGATTAGTTACTGGCATGTGCCAGTCGACTTCAAGTGACTTCGAAAGTTTCTTGGCTTGGCGGCGTACTTGCACAAGTACTCGCTCAGCTACGCCGAGATGACCGTACATCTCTCTCGTCTGTTAAAGAAAAACGAGAGGTGGTCATGGAGTGCTGATTGTCAGCACTCTTTTAAAGGCATCAAGAAAAGCTTGATACAATCGCCTGTTTTGGCGAATGCATACCGAGACAGACCATTCCACGTGGTATGTGACGCCAGCGATTTTTCAATAGGCTGCGCACTACTCAGACAGCGCTGAGCGCGTCGTCTGTTACAAATTGCGCAGCTCCAAGCAGCTTAGCGTAACTATATAGTGCATGACAAGGTACTCCTTGCCATGAAATCTACACTGGCCAAGTTTCGGGTACATCTCTTAGGAGATAGGCCCTTCATCGTTTATACCAACCATGCGTCATTACGCACGGCCGTAAACAGTCCACACTTCTCGCAACAATGGCGAGGTGGCTGCCTTTCTTTGCGGAGTAAAACTTCTTCGTCGACTATAAACCAGGACGGCTTAATGTCGTCGCTAATGCTCTTTTGCGTTGGCCCGATTTCGAGCCGACTGCTCAACCCTACAGTAGGGGTGATCCCACTGTCGCAACACTAACAGTGAGTGTTCCGTCGTCAAATCTGCTCGATGAAGTGCGAAAACCAAACGCAGAAAGATGAGTCTCTTCTGCGGTTGAAGGAATACGTATCCAATCAGTGTAATCAAGCTTTGAAAAGCTTGACATCTCAATACCGCACTTCAACCGAACGGTTTTTGGCTCGTGGTGGACTGCTGTACTATACAGCAGTCAAAGGCGACACAGCTCGTGTCGTCGTTTCCGCTCATGATGATTTGCAGTTGCGCATCATGTATGGGTGTCACAAAATTCAAACAAGTGGGCATCGCGGTAGGAAAAAGACTTACCTCACGGTGAGTCGTGACTTCTGCTGGCTCCGCCAGTATGAGTTTGTGCGCAAATACATTCGCACTTGCGAAGTTTGCCAACGGGTGAAGCCTAGTCCTTCATCCCGCGCACCCTTGCAGCCTCTTCCGATTCCGGCAGAGTGTTGGCAGTCCATGTCGATGTACTTCGTCTTTGGGTTTCCCAAGACGTTCACAAGAATACTGGTATTCTTGTGTTTGTTGATCGGTTCAGCAATATGGTACATCCTGTTGCTGTACCAGAGTCAATCACAGCCCAGGGCTGTGCGCGTGTCTTCATCGATGATACCTTCCGACTTCCCGGGTTACTCCGTGAACTCGTGTCCGATAGAGGCCCCCGCTTGACACAGAGTTCTGGCAATCCGTGCTCCGTTTACTTGGAACAGGATTGAAAATGTCGACTTCTGACCATCGAGAAACAGATTGTCAGAAGGAACGCGTCACCCGCGTCGTCCACTTCGAGGGTATGTCCACTCGTTTAAGAGCTGGAGTTAGTTCTTGCTGATGGGGGAATTTGCCATCAACAGCTCGGTTTCTGCGACGACAACGCATACACCGTTCTTAGTGAATGGCCTACGTTATCCACGTTTGCCCACCTTCTTATAGTGTGACTCTAGTTTAAGAGGGGGGGTGGACTCGCTCGAACTTATACCGATCTGGTGCTTGCTCATCACACGTCAACAATGGTGTCGACGTGATGGATGTCGATCACATCGACATCGATGAGGTTGATGACGACGATGCTGGTATATTCAGCATCGTTGTCGTTATCATCATCGATGTATCTCCAACTACAGCTACAGTGAGGACGATAACACCATCACTGGTGAAGACAACGTTCTTTCAGCAGTGCACACGAAGCGCACTGTTGTTGACAAGGATGAACCAGCATAGGAATTTCTGCTGACTCGCGAAGCGTTTGTCCGCTTCGTTCAAGATTCTATCGCAGATGCATTAGACAACAGAAAAGAAACTCAGAAAATTATGGAAGAGCAAATGTTCTTTCATTTGATGAAGGAGACCTAGTTTTAATGTCCACAGTAAATCTACTAAAACAAGCAGTGACAAACGTGAGCAGCAGTAAATTACTGCTCAAGTCTATCGGTCCACTTCGTGTATTGCGCCGCATGGGCAATGCATACACGATCGAACTGCCTCGTAGGATGCGTACGCATCTTACGGTTTCCGTTGGATGTATCTGCTCTCACTATCAGTACGAGACCACTTCGAGAGACGAAGAACATCTCCGCGGTCGAGATCCGAGACCACCTTCGAGTGGTCCTGTTTCAGTGAGCCAGTCTGGTCGACTAGTGAAGCGACCTGTTCACGCAGTTGAGCGATGTCTCGACGAGCTACAGCCAGCTCTTCACGGAGAGAACGAACCGAACGCTCGTTTCAAGTTGCGCGAACGCAAACGTGGCACGATCGTCCGAACGACCGTGCTTTAAGGAACTGTAACTACCCCTTACAAGATCCTTAAGCTCATAACGCCGAGTCCGTTCATGGGCCAGGTCATCTTGCAACTGTTTTATTACGCGGTTCAGCTCCCGAACATCAAGCTGATCCGACCCTCGAGCCGAATCAGGTGTTCCCGCCGCCACCACATTCTTTGGTGGACTCAGGCGGTAGTCAACGCTTTCTAATAAAGCGTATTTTGAACCACCACGACGTGAATGGCGTCAGGACGAGTTACCTCGTCCGCTGGCGTGTCTATTCACCGGCGTGGGACAGCTGAGAGCCTCGTGCCCAGCTAATTGTTGATGTCCTTGGTCTCGTCGAGCAGTACGACGAGACCCACCCGCTGCATTCGAAGAAGGGCCGTCGGAAAATGACCTCCCCAAACACGAATACAGGGATTGAAAAGTGTCAATCCCTTTGGCCATCTCAGAAGAGATGCGCGCCCTTCAGTAGGGACTATTATGGAGGAAGGCCTCCCTAGGGGGCACAGTTCGAGTTGTCCAGGCAACCTAGACACTGATCACCCCACGAGAGACACGGCAATCCTGCCTCTCTTGACAGCCGGTGAAACTTCTATCGTACATCGACTGGGTTGCGTTTCTTAAACCTGATGCAAGCTACATCAAGTTTGACGAGCCAGGCCTCACGGCCAATGCACCCGATGTTATATGTGAGGGCATTCTATCCTTGCACCAAGGCTTTGCCGTCTCGAACACGGCTGTCATTGTACCACCGATGTTTAAAAAACGCATCGGTGAAGAGTTCTTCATCAGCACGTGTAGTTTCCGTGCTGGAATCAGGTGGGCAAATCTTGCTGCAATAGAGCAACAAGATTCGATCCCGCTCGGTGGTCATACCGGCCAACCGATTTATTTCCTTGGATAATGGCATACAAGGAGACTCCACTTGGGGAGCGTGGTGCAGGACATTTTGGTCCCTGGTCTCTTGATTGGTGCGAGCATGAGCAATCACACCAGTGTTACCCCCGATCCCTCGAATTACTTCGCTCGTGGTGATGTATGGGTGCACCACCATCATCCCACGCGTCGTAGTGTCAGATGGACTTGCATGAGGCGGAGATTCGTCATAATAATCACTCGATCCGAAGATGTTGGACATGATACCGCCATGTTGACCAGAGCCAGTAATCCTGGCTCTTCCAGTGTCCGCCCCGGGTGATCCGGAGGGGTGAGGCGTCGCCTTCGAGTCGGATGCATCATCCGACTCGCCAGAATAGATGAGCCCTATCTCAGACTCGTTTTGATTACGACTCGCAGTACCCGCTGCAGACGCAGCGGATGTACCTGTCCCACGTGGTGAGTCACCACGTGGACGATTTACAACAACAGGCGACAAATCACCTGCTGTTGAGATGTAAGAGGCACTTTCCTTGGCCGCACGCATGCTTGCAGCCGCCTTTCTTGCTTCTTCAGTAGCAGCTCTCGTGGTTTTTTAAACCATGCGTTGGATTGGCGAATGAATGGAATTTAACCTACAAGTGCTCCCTTTCCCAGCGTGATCTGTGGTCACCCTGTCCCAATCAATTCTAATTCAATCGTGAACGGTGGTCACCCTGTTCCAATCAATTCTGATTCAATCAACGGGTGATTGATGGATAAAAAGGGGGAAGGGTGATGCAACGGGGTAGACCGTTACATGAAATTGACACCAAACGGTGTCAATAGGGAGACTGTCTAGCGTGGCATCTCCCTGTCATTTTTATCTGAGATGGTAGTATTAAAGGAATATTATCCCCTCTAGATTATAATCATGCGCTGCTCAAAGATTGGTTGATATAAGACATATCAACTAAAGATTACCACCAATCGCTTCTAGACGCGCGCAATGAGTGGTGAGCAGGTTGTCGTCATACGACGAAGTAGTTTAATATAGTTGAACAAAGGCTAAATTTGCATTGATAGCTTAACTATATTAACCACAGTTCTCCTTTCACCCTTTACTCAACCTAGCTGTTTGAGTAGACAAGCCTTCTCTGCACGTACTAGTGTACATGAAGTTTCGCGGCACCCCAACTAAGGGTGCCCCGTTAATTTAATTATTAAATTTAATTTCAATCGTGCTATAGAAAGTAGGTCAGAGGTATGTAGATCGATGAGCTTCCAATGCATAACTGTACGTCCCTGTATGTCACCCTTTACACTTGTTTCATATGACTCGTCTGGTGTAGCTGACCAAACAGGATCAACAGCACACGCAGAAGGACTTCGCTGTCTTCAGTTATTAACCCAGTTTCGTCCATGCTTATGTCCGGCAATCAATTAAAATTCAAATCGGGCGCACTTCGTGCATGTCTTGAGGCCTTCTCGAACTTTGAATCTACGTTAATCAGAAAGGTCCGTGACCATTTGGCATCTGACATGCCCACTCGGTGCTTTCCAATACCGAACACTGAGTCAAGGATTCGCTAATCCACTAGTCTCAAGTGTCAAGACTGTGGAGGGAAAGAGGAAGAAAAGCTCCATTTGTAGGTCCGCGAGATGGACGTTGCCATCAGTTCGGTAATTCTGCGGTCATACAATCATGATTTGGGTTTTGCTTTATCTAAATTGGGTAGTCGAGCCAGGGGGTTGATTTTTACTTCTGGAACCTCGATAGATGAGGCTCATCCCACCTGGGATATGCTAAACCAGCAACTTTCTCGGGTATTTGCCCCGCCTAATCTGGCGTATCACGTGCGATCACGCCTCCTGTTAACTTATCAAGGTAAAAAGGACTTGGTCGATTCTGTTTAGGAGTTGCGAACTCTCATCGCTGCTAGTCAACTTGACCCTTTACCTGAGTCGGTTCTGACAACTATTTTATGGAGGTTCTTTGCACGGCGTTGCCAAAACTGAAGCGATTTTCGCATACCCTTGACATCTGAGGTTGCTGTGAAAATAGCATTAGACGCAGAGTTCAGATTTAAAGCTGCCTTTTATGGGAATCGTGGTATCTAATTGAACTTGTCGAGCAATGCTCAGCTTATGGATCGGGCGAACCTATGGACCTTGGTCTTGCTGAGAGGGACGACGAAGCTGAGCTCTTTGCTGTCAAACATTGTTCGATCACCCGTAGTTGATTATCATGCGAAAGCATCAAACATCTTCGCCCCGATCGTCCTTATAGAAGGACCGGACAGGCTCAGCCGAGCCGACCTTCCGTCGCTAACAAACGAGTTTTTAAGGCGCGAGAAAACTTCGAGTACTATAAGGCGTGGGGCGCCCTACTGGAGAAAATTTAGGCTCTGCTGTACATCTGGGAGGTGATAGAGAACAGGGCCTAGCCCCATGTGGCTTAGTGATCAATTTCACGAAGCGTGTGTACAAGACATGCTTGTTAGTTGCAAATGCAATGGTAAAGGGCTTTGAATACCCATGGTCAATTTAGATCGACTCCGAGGCGTCTGGAAATTTAGTCCGAAGTTATTTCCTGGAAGAAAGTCAGAAGTATGCTGAGGCGCTACAAACGCGAAAGAATGAGGCTATTACTGTGTGCTTGGCGACAGGTGCATCAGCCACTGTGTCTAAAGTTCTTGTGAAGTTAGGCGTTTAGTTTTCGGACTTTGACAGTATCAAACGCTGTCTAGTCTTTGACTTAGATGAGAAGTATGATCTCATCATTGGTATGACTTGGCTAGAACGCCATGAGCCATGTCTTGATTGGATTTGTAAATCTTCGGCGCAACGGGCACTGTTCCTAATGACACTCGGACAGTCACGAGACCACCTCTGCTAATAAGCAGAAGGGCCATTGGCGCGAGCCATGGACTGAGAGACTCAGCGTGCTGGATATCGATTTCTCTGAACTTATTGAGTTGGACTATGTCAAAAACACTAGTTTAGAGCCAAGCTTAACGACTGTTAGCAAAACGGCACGTAATCCGTCGAGTGATAATCCATGTGATAACAAATCACTTCATGCTGAGTGCATTGTTGGCCTTGAGCCAAGTCATCATGGGTTGAACCCATCTGGTGAGCGTGGAGTGGCACGTAAGTACCCACTGAGTGATGGTGGCCGTGATTGTGACACACTGAAATTCAATCAGGACATTGTTGGTACAACACCAAGTCATCAAGGGCGACGCCCATTTGATAAGCGTGTATTGGCACGCATATACCCACTGGGTGGTGATCTCACTGGAATTGACTCGTTACTAGATATCGTGAATGATATCGGAGCGGGAAGAGACATAATTAAGATTGACACCGTTCGTGAACAGTGTAGTCCCAGATGTCGGCAACACTATCGGTCCTGCTTTTGGAAAAATTTAAGACTGACGCGGTTTATCACCTTGGTGACAGTGTAGCTTAGATGTTGGTAATTACATCAGCCCTAATATTAGGCAAATTTTGGCTGAAAAAGTCGTCACCTTGGATGCGGTATAGTTTCGGAGGTCAGTTATGATAATGGCCCTGGTAATGAGCAACTTAAGGTTGGTGAGCACGGTAATTTTGGGGACATTGATGTCCCGGGTGTCGGTAATGACACTGGCTCATGAACCGGAGCAATTTATTGATGATGATGATGTCAATCTATGGAACGAGAAAGTTCCAGACTCTTTGAGGCGTTAATTCTCGTTACAGAGACGAAAGTGACGCCAGATTGATGTTAAGCAGCGCAAGGCGTTTGCTCCATCACTGACGTAGCGAGCAGCTGCATACACTCGTTAATGGAGTGACTGGTGACGTTGATGGATCAGCAAGTCTTAAGACTTTAACCTCACTAAACACTCTGTTAGAGCTGGACTAAATGTCTGTCCGCGAGTTTAGCCCGACCTTGAGTTCAAGTGACTTGTCTTCAGTGGTGGTTATTATGTCCGATAGCGAGTTGAAGTAGTCTTCACTTCTTGACGAGGCTGTCTTGGAGACACAAAGGCGGCACTGAGTGCTCGAAGTGGTTCGTCGATCTTGAAGGTCCTAAAGACCCGTTTCAGCCTGATTGTGGAGTTTCAGGATGTGGTGTGTATTGATCTCCCATCTACCCTACCTCCCGACAAAGGTGTACGTCAGGAGATTGGCCTGGTCCCTGGGACCAAATTTCGTGATACAAGGCAATGTCCGTTGCCTAAGGAGCAGAGACGTTAGTGACGAGTTCTTCCGAGCAAAGAACGCGGCTGGTTTTGTGCGCGAGAGCAAGTCTGCGCACTTAACACCGACAGTTTGTGTCAGGAAGCTAAATGGAAAGTGGCGCATTGTATATGCTTACAACAAGCTTTTTCCGGCCACTATACCGGCACGGATGCCTATCCCTAGAATGGATGTTTTTCAGAACGCTATGGTAGGTTGTACCATGCTCAGCGCACTCGTCTTGGTCGATGAAACTCATCAATTACTAATGCGAGAGAGTGATATTCCGCTTACAAAGCTTAGTACTCCAAGAAATATACTTTAAAGGTGTCTTCTCGTACCTCAAGGGCTGTCTCATGCCGTGGCTACAAATTGTCGTCATGTGACGCAATTGTTTCTAACTCACCGAGAATACGTCCATATCTATATCGATGACACCTTTGTCCATAGACGTGCAGACTATGGTAGGTCAGATGTAGACAATCACAGTGACCATTTACGAGCAATGCTCGAGTGCGTACGTTCAAACGAGCTGTATGTATCAACGTGTATTTTTGGTGCTGAATGTTTCTCTTCCTCAAAAGCTTCATTGGAACTTGTGGCCTTCGAGCAATGTTGACTGGCCGGTTCCATCGAACAAAAAGAAAATGTTTAAATGGATCGGCTTTACTAATTGCTTTCATAATTACAAAGCAAATATGCTGACAAGGCAAGACCATTACCAACCTCCTTAAGAAGATTGCGGTTTGGCGTTGGGACGCAGTCCATGCTCAAGCTTTTGAAGCTGTTAAAAAAGTCTTTTTCATGCTCCAATCCTGACTTTTCCTGACCCAGAGCGGCCTTTCAGTGTCGTCCGCGACGCGTCTGATTTTTCGATTTGTTGTGCAATGCTGCATACAGATGTCGATGGACATAAATGAGTCATTGCGTACAAGTCTCGTCAGCTAAAGGCTGCAAAGAAGAACTATCCATTCTACGATAAGAGAATGCTAAAAACGAAGTATGCTATTGCAGATTTTAGAGTCCATCTACTTGGCTCAAGGCCTTTTTGTGATCTTTAAAGGTCTTACTTCATTACGCACTGTGATACAGTCGACACACCTCTCACGGCGTATGACCCGTTGGATTTTATTCTTTGCTGAGAACAACTTCGAGATAAAATATAGGCCGATCAAAAGACAATTTGGCTGATGCATTTTCACGCAGACCTGTTCATGAGCTTGATTATGTGACGACTATGTCTCCAACCATTGCGGATCTAATTCGTGCGGCATTAGTAAGTGATGAGAAATGTGTAGCATTGCTACGTGGTCTTGGAAGCGAGGAGCTATAAGACTC